GAGGGCAGTAAGGGGCATCAACATTTCTGATTACATAAAACCAAATGTAAAAGATATGACGGTAAATAGCAGCTCCCTCATGATGCATTTGCTACTTGCTAGGGTTTTACAAGAGCATGGACCTTGGACACATCAGGCAAAGGAACATTACTCCTTTTCATTACAGGATAGAGATCAACACCTTAAGCTGACAGAAAACTTTTTTTATTAAACTTCAATAGCCATTATTCCCACCCCTGGCAAATGAACCTAAGAAACAGGCTACACTCGGGCAGAACATACACATGTCCAGATTGACAGACAAATACTGATCCTAGTAGACTCAAAAGAGCTGAGCCAATTTACATCAATTGAGGATGTGGATTCTTATTCTTAGCAGTGTTCCATGGGATGTGACTGTGTGTATCTTGCTTATTCAAGTTGTGCTTCTCCAATGTGTCCCCTTTTCAGGTCAACTACACATCCCCACTGGTGGCTATACACTTTACAGATGTGAAGAAGAATTACTTTGTCCCCATTCAGTGCAAACTGAATGGGAAAGGCATTGTGAATGATGTTCACAACGACCGCTTCCTGGGGCGCATCATCTTCGCATTCAACATTGGCATGTAGCCAGTTGAAATGTTCACTGGGCACTTTGTTTATGGCAAACATGTTTTTTCTCTTTTTAAAAAGAATAACAGCAGAACGCAGGACACTTCTGTTAAAAACAGACAAGTTTGTTTTGGAATTCTTTATTTGATTTTTTTTTTTTTTGTTTTTAATTTTTTTATTGCTAATGAAAATTTGCCATGCAATATTCAAACAGATAAACTACATTTTCTAAATGTAAAGGCCTGACCTAAACCATTTTAGCAGTAAAAATACAAATCTGGTAACCATAGGCAGAGCCCCTGCTCAAATAAGGTCCATTTTGATCTTAACTACTTTTTGGATATTTTAACATTCTTTTCCTAGGATTGTGACTTTATTTTTCTTTATAGTTTTAAGCATATTTCTCATAAGAAACAAACAAGCTGATAATTAATCAATACTGCAGGGTACTCCATGCTCCCATTTGAAAAAAGAAATGTAAAGACAACCTTGGATTACATGTGTAAAAACAATAATAATAATAATTAAAAAAAAAATCAAATAAGGTGTTCAGTCTCAAAATAACTTGAGCCCACCTCTGTACTGGAACATTTGAGGGAGCAGGCTCAAACATTTTTTGGTACATACAAGACGACAAAGGCAACAGCCTAAGGCAGAACTGGCATTTAAGAATCTTCCTAACTGATTCCAGTCCCGCAACTGAGCTGGGAGGATAAGCACATTTTTCCTCTTCCATGTCCTCCTTCCCATGCCTCCCCAAGATACTTTACTGAGATCACTAGACACAGGAAGCCTGAAAAGGGCAGTTCCCTGCTTGCCCCCTCTGTCACAATGGTAGGAAGAGATTGATGGGAAATGGTGCAAGGCCCAGGACAGGAAAGGAATCTGCATCTCCCACGTGGCCATGCAAAGTACAGCTTCTCAGGACAACTGGGGCCCCCCAGCTATTTCAAGTCCTTGTCTCCCCAGTGCCGGGGACAGCACAGTAAATAATGCCCCAGAAAGCCGGGGAGTCACAGCAGAACAATTAGTCGCTCATTTTCATGGGCCAGTACTGATATGAGCAGTCAGCAGCTTGTCTTCCTAGGAAACCCAGGAGAGCACACAAAACAACAACAGACTCTCCCTATGCCTGAAGAAGGGTGTTTGTGCCTGAAAGTTTCCAAAGAACAATTTTTCCAACTATTTAGTTGGTCTAATAAAAGATACCATATCTACCCGAAGAACCTTGTCTGCCTAGGAAACCTATAGCAGTTGGTAGAACAGGCTGCTACTAACTGAAGCAGTCCCTTTGTTAGACACAATTCGTTCAATTCCCCCATCTGTCAGCCCTTAACCTTGTGCAGAACAGGTGTTTGGACCTGCCCAGGTGCAAATGATGACCCTATGTGCAAGGCAGTGGAAGATCAGGTTTACAAGCTGGTCATGGCATTGGTCAGCCAGTAACATTTCAGGTAACAGACTGTCTTTGCTTCCTGAAGATGGTCTCGTCCAGAGACTTGAATTTCATTCCTGGCTTCCCCAAGTGAGCAATCACTCTCACATCTTTGTGCCCGATAACATGGGGATTCTGCTACTTACCAGTTCACTGGGGAGCAGCGAGGCTGAACTCGTTATTGTTTGCAAAGTACTTTGGTAGCTTGGATAGAAGTACCATAGACCTGCAAAATACTGTGGTGCTTTCCAAACCCATGACAGTGAAGTTGCCTGTTTCTAAAGAATCTGAAATTGCTTAAAAATAATTGTGTTTCAAAAAAATGAAAGCTGTTCTTGAGGATACTCATTCTATGTTGAAATCTGGAGATTAAACTTGTTACACACGCATTATTATTAGTTACAAGAACAAAGCAGGACATGTCTAGAAAAAAATCTTATTAGCTGGACAGTACATGTACCTTTGCTACTGACTAGATGGAGGAAAGCATTTTGGTATCCTTGCCCTGTACAAGTGGTCCAGTTATTTTCTTACTGTGACATCACTTCCTGTGTTTTTTGGTCTCTCTAAATCTTTGATAAACAAGTCATTTTTCTATTAAAAACTAAGCTGACTACAGTGCATTTGCATTAAAACTAACAGTGTGACTTTATTCTTAATACCCTTCTGGTTATTGGCTAATTGGTTGAGCAGGCACTGTCAATGTAGCTTGGACAGACTTATTTTGCCTACACTCATTTATAACAACTCCAGGGGAAGCTGAAATTGAAACCTTTTTTTGTGTGCACAGTGGCTTGTTATTGTGGGACTGCTACAGTGTGGTTTGTTTATGGAGAGTCAGGGAGTAGCCCAAAGCTGGAAACATTGATCTGTTATTGCAGGACTGATTGTGCGTGCTGGTCTGCTCCCTCTGGGCTGGTACTGCAGAAGTGATCACGAATGCCAGAAACTCAAGTTGATTGTCTTAAGAGTCATTCCAGCCTATAACTACTCTGGAACTTGTTTTTCAGTTGCTGACTTCTGCCACATTTCCACAGTGGACAAAAAAAAAAAAAAAAAAAGAGAGAGAATGGATTCTTTTCTTACTGTCTCTTGCAAATTCTGGCTTCAACTGCCTCTGAACCTCCATTGCCTTCAACTCGTGCCTATGGTGACACAGGCAACCCAGATAGTCAAATGAGAGAACTCAGCCCTGGTAAGGTAGGACTGCAGATGAAGTAACATGCATTTCCTCTTAGGCCTATGACACCTTGCAGAAGCTGCATCATTTTTTGGCAGAGGACTGGTAGGGCAGTAAACTGGGGTCAGTTTATAAACAAGAGTTCAGTGTCATCCTTTGTGAGATTCCTTCACCCCCAAAGGAACCTGTAGCCCCTTAACAGATTTGTGTATGGAGGAAATCCTCCTACAGGTCTGCTTCATATTGCTGCAGTGCTGGAAGGAAGGATCATTCTTGTCTTGGGATGCAGCACTGCCACTGGAATCCTTCTGCACACTGTAACCATTGTTCCTATGCAACCTAGGAGGCCTGTACATGTGAGAAGAATCATGGCAAGGTGGAGATCAGCATTTCTCTCAGGCTATAATGCAAGGGGATAATGAACAGTTTCTACAGAAGCTCCTGTGGTAAAGTCAAGGTTTCACAGCTGGCTCCCACCAGTCCATAAATATTCCATATTTCTACAGCAGGAACTATTCTTGTGCCAGCAGTCTGAGCTTAGCTATTTTCATTGCTTGGGGCTATTTTTAGTTCACCATTACATCTTTACCCCCTGTACATCCCATTGTGGTTGAGCAACTACTCAGAAACAATTACCCACAGACTGGTAAACATGGGAGAGGCTGGGCCTGGTACATGTGTGAGACATTTGAGGGATGCATGCTGAAATGCCCATTTCACTGGTCCCTGGGGCACAGACTTGAGTGAAATTTGAAAAGAAAAAACTAAGGCCTTGCACAAAAATGACTGCTTCATTTATACAGTACCCCTGTGGACTGCAAAAGGATGGAGTTTTGCTATTATAGCTAGGCTTTCCCACCCCAATTACTTGTAAAAAGCCATAATAATAGGAGCACAACAGGGGCA